AATTTCTTTCCTCATTTCTTGATAAAGCAAAACAGACTGCAATTGCCAAGTAGCAGAGAGAATTGGGAGAACCTAGAATGGGAAAAATCCATACATTCCACAGTTTTGCTTAGTTTCCTTAATCTGTCAGTCCAGTCAGTTAACAGGGGCATTCTAGAAACTTACAGTTCTTTCTCAAAATGAAGGGACTCTAGCATGCCAACTAGCAGTGGTAGGACTGTGAAAAGGATGGTGAATGTAAAAAAATGTAATGTAAAAATGTAATGCTGTTGTTTGGCTGTTTGCTGAGTGAGGCAATACATTGTATACCAACATTAGAGGATGAGGACCAAGGAAAGGCAATGGAAGGGCTGCAAGATGAGGCTTTCTTTTTTGTTTCCTTTTTTAAAAGGCTGGAATAATAGAATGGCAAGCAGAAAATGTATGCTTCATACAGAGTGGTGGAATATTAAGCCAGTAAACTCCAGCACTGATTAAAACATTTCCGTGATACACAGTTCAGAATGTTAAATTATGGCTGTCAGCCTGAAATATAATAAGCATGCAAACTGCCTCGATGTATCACAGCAATACTCCCCTCCAGTTCAGCCATCTGTTTCCAGTGCTGATTAGCCAGGTGCCCCTTGAACGACTTAAGCAGGGCTGGATAGTGCTAATCACTTCATAGTATCTGATATTCAGAACCATATTTACTTTGTACATAAAGATTCTATTTAGTTTATTTACTCCCATTCTTCATTAATCTAGCTCATCCTTTTTTTTTTTTTTTGAAACAACTACAAAACTACCTTTCTTGTGGGTAAAGAATGCCATTAGTTCGTTACAAGTGGACCTGTAATGCATGCATGCTATAGTGCCAATATTTCTGTTCCACTCCATTTCACATCCAGTCCTGCTGCTTCTTGAAATAATCAGCAATCTGTGCCAATTTAGCATGCTTTCTCTTCCTTGGGTTACTTTTAGGACACTTCTTCCTCTTGCCTCTGAGGATTTCCACCCCACCCCACAACATGCTTCTGTGCTTCCTCCAGGCTTGGGATTCCCCAAAGCCTGTACTGGATACATACAGGCTTGACATCAGAAAATTAGGACTGCTATTATCATCATTGATCCAATGTAAAACATGTTTATTCATGGGCAACAATAGCTGTAGTATAAAAAAAATTCATGTGAACATTCAAGAAAAGAAACAGCACAGACCATATAAACATGTGCTAAATAGAATAAGCAGCAACAGTTCTGACTCTCATGAATGAATGCCAGACTTAATAGCATGAGTGTTTCCCTACCTCACAGCTGTGGCCATGAAGGTTCAGGGAAGAAGTAAAATGTATTCACTGAAAGTGAGACAAATATCACGTGCTTTCTTAATCTAAAATAATGTCAGAGGCATGCATTTTGGACTCGATGAATGCATATCACACATTTTACAGATGAACTTCCTTTCTTGCATGACCTCATAAAGCATGGCTCATCTCATTCTATATGCATGTAGCAGATCTGGTATTTAGTATTTCTGTTTTATGTATGATATTTCAAATTTGAACTTGGCATTTTACCAAGAAGCCATAAAAAACAAAACAAGAACTATTTTTAATAACAAAACAAATGCAATTATTGAAAAATGATCAAGAGCCATTTGACTCTCTTTCTGAACTACTGCTGGAGTTGCACCATATATAGATGATGTGAAATCAGAGTAAACAAAACAGCCAGTGAGAAGTCAAAGCCTTGTAATTTCAAGGCACAGATCTGAAGTGGAACTACATGTTACTTTAGTTAATACATATTTCACAGGCAGTGGGTTAAATCCAGTGTTTTCCCTCCCCAGAAGGACCACTCTCTGAGAGCAATTCCACTCTAGCTGGGATTGTCTAGCTGACAGGGGAGGGGTAGGAAAGGCAATTTTTGCTAATTCTCCACTCTCCCTGCAATCAGCAGTGTTTTGTCTCATGCTGTTCCAGAAGCAGAACCAGAGCAGATTTGCCAAAGAGGACTTCAGTGGAAGTAGGAAAATCACTGAAGATCTTAGAAATGCTGTACTAAATCAGAAGTCTGTTATTTATGAATTGAAGGAGTCCTTCCCTCTGTAAGAAAACATAACACATAAAAAAGCCACACTGGATCAGACCAAAGTCCTGGTTAGTCCAGCATTCTGTTACCACAGTGGCCAATGTACATGAGTGCAACAGCATCTTATCAATGGATACTTGAAGGCACGCTACCTCTGATGCTAGGAGCAAAATAAAGCCATCACAAGTTATAGTCACTGATAGCTTTACTCTTCATGAATTTCTCTAATTCCCCTCCAAAGCTATCCAAGTCAGAGGCAGATGCTGTATCCAGGCTACATGGAGGCAAAAGTAATGAAAACTTGGTGAGGCTCCCATTTCACCTTAAGCAGCTCTCAGTAGGGCATCAACATCTTGTTTTAATTTGAAATGCTGTTGCTACACTGCACACAAAACAGATTAGAGAAGCCACAGGTGTCATACTATGCACATGCTCTATAACATTTTTGTGTTTTGTGAGCTAGCTGGAAGCTGAAATTAACATGATATAAACCATCCCTTATGAAATTTACAAGTGGGACAAAGTCAATGGAAGGAATATTTCTAATTTCAGGAGAAAGAGAGAATTTTGAAGAATTTTTGAAGTATTAATTGACATTTTAAACATATAATTTTAATAAAAATCTAATTTATTTTAAAGGTTTTATTGCAATGTTGGCACTTTGCGATAAATAAGTGGGTTTGGGGTTGCAGTTTGGGCACTCGCTCTCTAAAATGTTCACCATCACTGGGTTAGGGTTAATAAAATGAGGTGTCCTGGCATGATTTTGAGATTGGAATGTGTTTAGAATGGGCAGAAAGGATGAGCTGTGCAGAAAAAGGAACTCAGGGAAGACTTTTTCAAAATCGTCCTATTTTCACTGGAACTTTAGCCCTATATTAGGGTTAGGGGTATGCAGCAGGGCAGGGTTCGGGTTAGAAGAACAAGGTGTCCTCGCATGATTTTGATGGTTGGAATATGTTTAGAATGGGCAGAAAGGACGAGCAATGCAGAAAAAGCTACTCAAGGAAGACTTTTTCAAAATCACCCTCTGTTCAATAGTATTTTAGCCCTATATTAGGGTTAGGGGAGCGCACCAGGGTAGGGTTAGGCCAGTGGTGGTGAACCTATGGCATGGTTGCCCCAGTGGGCACGCAGAGCCCTCTCTGTCAGCACGTGAGCCAAGTCATGCCAGCATCGCCCCAGCAGCTGAGCATTGGGTAACAGCACATATAGGGGCCGTGCGCATGCTCAGAAAGGTGTAGCAGCGCCAGGGGATGACATCATGAGCCGTGACTCATTAGCCGCAACTCATCTGAGCTTTCGCATGGACGGTCAATCCACTGCCAAGGATATGTGTGTGTGTGCGTGTGTGCGCATGCTTGTACTGGCTGTGAGTTTTTTCTAAACTAAAACTGCAGTTTTCAGGTTTTATTGCAGTGTTGGCACTTCGTTATAAATAAGTGGGTTTTGGGTTGCAGTTTGGGCACTCAGTCTTTAAAAGGTTCGCCATCACTGCTATATACCTAAAATCTAAGGGAGGAATTCCATGCATGTTTAGAGCTATTACTGGCTGTGGCTTGCTGGGAATTGTAGTCCTTTTTTCTGGCTGGCTGGGGAATGCCGGGAGTTGTAGGAGTAATTTCTTTTAAACATGTAGGATTGCACCCAACATATATTCTGGCAGAAAGTAATCTCAAAGTGGTCTGTAACAAGATCAATACTTACTTATTTAGGGTGCCTCCCCCCCCCCGCCCCCCACATACTTTACTTGTTCAACAGCTTTGACAGTTAAATGCAAGCAGTCAGCTTACCGCTCTTATTGAAATACATTCCTGGCTGTTTTGGCAGCCTGTTTTAAAATGCAATAGCAAGGACTGCTGTTGAACAGAATGTTTCTAGAGTCTCACAGGCAACACAGTGTGTCTTGCCACTTGAAACATTTGCTTCTTTGGGATTAAGGCACAACAGAACACAAAATACACTGTGTCCCCAGGATCAGATCTTGTTAGCAGATCTACAGATTGGAACAGCCAGGGTCATTGCAATAAAAGCCTTCAGATATTCAACTGGATAGTGCTTTCATACCACAGATTGCTAGTTCTCCCATTTCCTTTTTCTCTTTAGACAGTCTTCAAAACAGTTTTCAAAATGCAGCATTCCTAGGTGTTTCCATGTCCCTCCAGTTTTGGAGGAGTTAAACACCCAGCTCCCTCCTCCAAAGATCAGAAATTTTTAGACAGCTCCTCAAGTGTTATTTTATCATTACAGTTCACTTATAATGGCTGTTGAATCCTGAATACCTCTCAGGGCATGGCAACAATTAGAAACAAGCTGAAATACTTGTTAGTTCTCTAGTGAGTGTGGGTGTGTTGGTGTGCACATATGTGTTTAAAATTGATGATTTCTTAAAAGACTGGCAAATAGAGGAGATAGTTGTCATCAACGAATAATTGACAGCAAAGGTGAAACAACTCATTTGAATTGCTTACATGCATGTCAGAGTTAGAACAAGTTTGTAAACCATAGCTTGATGTGGAAAAATATTAGTATTACAACACTGTTTTGCTGCAAGAAGCAACCAAGAGGAAGGAACAACTACATCTGGAAGTATGCAGAGATATATAACCTTGTCTCATGGCTCTACATCAGTTCATTCCTACTAGCAAAATCCTCAGAGCATGCTGCATATAAACATCAGCTGCTGGCTCTAACACAACAGCTAAAGCAGTCTAAATGGGCCTTTTCTTTTTCATATGAGTTGTCTCATTAAATGTTAATCCAGGCAAAATACACACAGTGGGAAGGCACCAGTTCTGAACCTAAGCCATCCTCAGAGTCAGGAAGAACTAGATAAGGCTGCTAATGCTTGACATTTAAATTCCCGCTTTAAGGTGATGGCTTATAAGCAATATTAAGTAATAATTGTGAAAGCAAAAAAGAATTACCTTCAGTCCGAAAAGCTTCTTCATGCAGAACTGTTCAGCTTGTCAAATAAAGTGTTTTGCCCCCCCCCCCACCACACAGACAAAAGTCCTGCACACAGCAGCATTCTATGAAGCCCTTCCTAGTGATCCAGTTCTTGCAATTTTCAGATTCTTGCCCGCTCTGCTACTTTTTGAATCTGTATGCGCAGCACAGATCCCTACCTTATTTGGCTGCCAAGCCTATTACAGTGAGCAAACAATGCCTTCTCTGTCAGAACAGAGAATGAATAGTATCACAAAGACACTCCTCTCTCATGTACAGTGCTGGACTTTTTCCTCCTTCTCCTTTTCTTCTCAAAGCAATCTAACTAGGGTGGGAAAGGATGGAAGGAAATTACTAGTATATTTTAGGAAGCCCTCTTCTTCAGTGCCACTAATCATTACTAACATGCAGCAAAATAATATGGGAGTTTGGTTTTTTTAACTCACAGTCTTGGAGTTAATGATGGAATGTGTCCGTTAACTTAATATGTTCATCCCAAGTGACTGAATGTACAAGAAAACATCTGGAGTATCAATTACAAGGAATGGACTGTCTGCCTGCTTCAACCCATCAAGGGCAAAACAAAAGAGTAAGAAGGAAAATCTCAAATGGTGTCAGCTGAATGTGGGTTATTTTTTTGCTGCTCTCTCTTTTGAGATTGATTTGGTCTTTGAACATAGACCAGGCTTCTGGAATAGAGTACTTTTACTATGAGTGATTGAGCAAGAGTTTGAAGCAGGATTTGGGTGATGAGAGAAGATAAATCTTTGGATGACTGGAGGCTCATTTCTTTCCTTAAAAGAGACTTATATCTAATAAATGTAAATTATTTTAGGGATGCAAATACCAGCTGTGCAATGAACATAGTGGCTGGATTTTCCATGCATTACAACATCCTATTATAAATGGTTACAGTATATGAGCATATCGTGGGTAACCAGTTTCTCCAATATCCATAATCCTTCACTATGAAGGAATTTAGAGAATATTAAATTAAAAAATGCTTCCAGAGAACATTGTTTCTCCAAACTAAATTTAAATCACTAAGCTTTTGGGACTAAAATAATGCAACAAAACACTGTCTGTGCATTGATTTCATGATATCTGAAAGCACTTGTAGCTGATTAACCAGTGTAATAGCTACTTGATGATCCCTGAACAATCCCCCTGCATTTTCCTGTAAAGACTGCCTGAGGCAGAGTGAGAACTACCAGATGCTACAGAGAAATAGAGGGTGGCTTTTTGCCATCATGCCCTAATTGTGAATTTCCCAGGGCATTTGGCTGGCCACTGCTGGAGACAGAATGTTAGATCAGATGGACCTTTGACTAGACCCTGCAGGGCATTTTATATGAACTCAGCCAAAGTTCTTCCAAGCTTAACTTTAGCCAATTTGGTGGATTCCCTGAACATACACTTCTGAAAAAGATCAGAAGGATGCACAATCCAGCTTTTTATTACATTCATTTTGCAACAACTCTCAAGAGGCATGACCACAGAGGCAGCATGATTCCCAGATGAGGAGACTCAATGCTGCAGTGTCGATGCTTGGCATACTTATTAAATGGCAACTCAACAACAATCCCAGTGGTAGCCCTCTATTTCCCTAACAGATCAAGCATGACATTTCTGTAACAATGAGAATAATTTAATTCAGCATTAGACTATTGTTATGTGTGTGATTGGACTTGTGCTTGGTTCAGAAGCTACAATTAGGGCAAAACGTATGGTTAAGATGACCATTTAACATTTAGTTATACACACATTACACCTGAGTAAAAGGAACTGTACCAGCTGCTTATTAGCTACCAAGCTGCAGCTTTTGCAAAATGTGACATCCAGATTAATAACTGGGACCAGAAGGTCCAAACATATAATACCAATTCTGACCTGCTTGCATTGGCTGCCCGTATGTGCCCAAGCCTAGTTCAGCGGGCTGGTTTTAACCGATCAAGCCCTATATGAGTTGGACGCACAACAGCTCATGGAATGCCTTTCCCAACCTAAATCTACCCAGACATAAAAACTGGGGTCTTCCTCCTGCTGCCAACTCTAAGAGATGCACAGAAAGAGGAGGACCTTCTCAGTGATGATCACCCCGAGGCCTGCCTTGTGCCAAAATTCTCTTCTTTTCATCATCAGGCTAAAACTGCTCTCTATTCCCTGGTATTTAATAGCAAATGATGGGTTATCTCATCTGCTTGATTAAGTCTAATTTTCTTAAAATTGTTTTATATATTTGAACTGTTTTAAATTTTTGCATATTTGAATTTGACTGTTTTAAATTTGTATGCCAGAATTTTAATTTGTAATTTTTATTGTATCTCTTTTTGGTTGTATCTTTTAAAAAAATTATACTTCAAGAAATTGGGGTGAACTGTCCAGAGAGCTTCAGCTATTGGGTGGTATAGAAATTAATTTTTGTTGATATTTAAGAGCCTAAACAACTTGGCTTCCTTCCCCTATATACACCAAACAACCCCCTGAGATCTTCCAAGGTCTTAACAGTTGATCCATAATCAACAATGTGGAACTGCTTGGTGCTGGCACACTCCCTCTGGTACACATTCCCACATGTGATTTGATAAGTGAAAACTTGATGAGCTTAAAATGCGTCTCAAAAAAGTATTGGTTTAGCCAGACTTTCTCTGACTTGCCATCAGTCATGATAGGACCTATTTTACTGCCTTATTGCAATGCTTTTAAGGTACATATTTTTATTTATTTTTATATTGGATTTTATAGTGTATATTTTTATGTAAACCTCTTGGAAATTCTAGAAAGCAACATAGAAGCAGCTTAAATAAATACATCAAAATCTGTCCTATTCCTGCTGATTACAACAATGTGTTTGCTTTTAGAATATTCTATTTTTTACTGTGAAGGCCTATGTTATTGGATAAAAAATTGTGGGAGTCCACCACAGATGCTAGCCTACCACAAATGAAGAAAATCATCTAATGCTACAAGGCAACACTGCATGTGCATCAAGTACATCTCATGCTACTTGTACAATCCAAAAAGTACCAAAGAAAATAGCACATCCATGTTATAAATATTTTGAAAAATGTATTTGTTGAAGCAAAGCAGAACTGCATACTTTTTTAAAGGTCAAACTCCATCAAGATAAATCTGAAAGGATGCTCAAGGAGTCAACATGCAGGAGAAAGGGAGGTGGCCTTGGAGACTATAGAATTGTGATTGTTTTGGAGTAATTTTGTTTCACCAAATTAATAGTTCATTTTTCTATTATTTATCAGAACAAAATGTTCCTTGCTATATTTGCAGTAAACCATCATCTTTAATTTAACAGAATTTAAGCATCACTGGTGGGGGGGAACCCTTTAATTCAACAGAGCATTATAGGATGGAAACCTAGACCCAGACTTTGCTCCTTGCTAGCAGGAACATCCTCTGTGCAAAGGAGGAAGGCAAATTTAATCAATTCTCCCTTTCCCCTGGCACCCTTCCAAGCTCCACTCTGGAGAACTGGATCCTAAGATAAGAACAGCTATTGGTAGTATCCTCTGCTGAGGATACTTGAGTGGGTTCATGTATTTCTTGCATTTCCTGGCAGTTGACACAGTCCAAGATCCAGGTTCTTCAGTTCCAGCAGGGGAACTGTTCCATAGGTGAGGGCATAAAGGAGGAAAAAGACTCATTCCTCTCATGATGTCCCCTGTGTGAGAAATGAAATGTTACTGTTACTAAGTGTTAAGGGTGAGAAACAGGAATAGGACAGGATCATTGAAGTCTCTTAAGGCAAAAAAGCCTGAGAATCAAAACAGGTAAATGGTTGTTCTAAGAGTAATAATGTTTCTTACATCAAAAGTCTGGAAAAATACCAGAAGGGGTAAAATTGGGGGACAGTGGTAAAACTGTCACCTTCAGTGGAGGAGAGCAGACGATGGATTACTTTACAATTGGCAATAACGAGCCTGGAGAAAGGCCTGTTCTCATTATCTCATCCTCCCCACAAGATTTAAGAAACATTTTGGCATCAAGTAAGAATTTTCAAGGCCGCTTCGGCCTGTTGAACTTTTAAAAGGTACTGTGCACACTTAATAGGCTTATGAATAGTAAATGACACACCTCCCATAGGTAATAGGCTCATTAGCATGAACATGGGATGTATGAGCGGGAGGGGGGAACATATTAAGGAGTAGTATGATATAGGTGGATGGGGAAGATTGTGACTTCTTAGTAACCAGCCAATGGCGAAGCGGGGATAGTGTTGAGCATCGGGGAAAGGAATGTATATAATCCCATTGATGTTTGAAATAATTGCTCTTTGTTTCTCAGACTACTGAGGCATTGAGCCAGCCTTTGCAAACGTTTTTGTATGGAATAAACTGTTTGTACCTACTCGAATCCTGTCTCAAGGATTTTTAAATCTCACACCTGGGATACCACAGGAGGGCCTACGGGGTAGGAAGTAGGCACAGAAGCACAATGTGTCTGATTGTTAGGCACACTGTGAGGCATAGCTGATTAACCCACATTGTGTGATTTGTGCTGCAGTGTGGATTAAAGTGTTTTTGGCAATATTGAGTCGTCTGACTTGTATGTCAGCTTACTATGGAGAAGGAAGCAAGTAAGTTAGACAGGCATGGGAATCTAGACTGGATTAAGGTAGCAGAATGTAAAATTATGTTAATTATGGGGCAAAAGTTATATAAATAGCACACATTAGCAATGATTTAGAGTATAATCCTACTTACAGCTAAATGTTTAGACAGAAAAGCATAAATAAAACATACAATATTTGCTGGAGAATGCTGAGAATTCTAGGCCATTTTCTCTCTCTAAACATGCATAGGATTGAACCCTTAATAAATGTAATTTAGTAAACCTATATATGGAGACTTGTGTTATACAAACAGAATGGAATTTAACTTGAAAATGCAAAACATAAATTAAACTGACCAACAAACACATTAACATGAAAATGTTTCTACCTGGCCTGCTGGTGGTGAGCCATTGTGGTGAAATGGTCAAGAGTGAGAAAGGTGTATAAT